CACATGGGACATTTGAGCTCCCTCGACTGTGGTATCTGTGATTGGATGATACTGGCAGTGTTAAAAGGCTGTACTTTTTTCCCCTGGACCTTTCTCATCATACTTTTCTCTTTTTCCATTGACACCTTTTTACAGAGGGATGGGTGTGCAGCTGGCTGGCTTGGGGTGCTTCGTGGGGAGGGAAGGGGGCAAAACATCTTTTAGTCACACTGTGTGTTTCAGCGTGTGCTATCATTAAAGGAAGTCAGAGTGCTATTTAAACCTAACTTTGTCATTGCCATCAGTTGCTAAATGTGAAGTAAACCCCTAGTCAGGGATTTTTCTCTGGCCTCAGGAAGAACCGGCTTTCCTCCAAACATTTCAAGGCACGCCGTATGCTCTTAAAGAGATTGTGATAATGCAAAGAGCTGTTTTCTTCCTCCAAATGACAGCAGAAACAATGCTGAGACCTTGATTCTTTGCTTTTTTGGGGCAGGAAGTTTGTCTGAAGGAAGAGAGAGTTTCCTTGCCCCTGCAGCCTCCTGCCGGCAGTGGTGCAGGCAGGGCTTGGGCTCAGGGGCAGTGAGATCTGGCCCTCTCTAGAAATACCGATGCCCCTCGTGTGCCCTCCCAGAGTACCCTGAAGTATGGGATGATGGTCACATGTAGCATTGCTTTCCTCCTACCGGACAGTTAGACTGCATTTGGTGGGAAGATGGTAAATCACCACACCAGGGTTATCTTCAGAAGAAGATATGACCACAAACTACCTACTCAGCTATTTGCCTGTCTTTTCTATAGAAGTAGCTGTAAGTTGGGGTTTGACTATTTTGCTTTAGTAGATAAGTGACTGCTATTTAAATCATGACTTGGGCTACAATGATAATTTCTTTATCTGTTTTGTGGACAAAAGGACTTCACAGACATTGAACCAGACCTTGACCCCATTAACTAAAGGAGGAAATGCTCTGTCTGGGCAGGGAAACTTCCTCTGTGGGTCTTGATGCCCACCTCAGTAGTCTGAGGTTTGATGCACTTGTGGGGATGCTGAAAGGCTTTTCCTGAGGAAGGGGCAGTGGGAGGAGAGGCACTCCTGATTACCCTTGCTTCAGTAATGGTCTTCAGCGTTTGCTGACGGTTCAAAAAACTTGGAGGGAAAAACTGTTTCAAGTTGAGCTGAAGGAAAAGACCTTCCCTGCATCAAAAAGTAAAGAATTAAAGAAATTGGGAAATATTTCAGATGAAGATGAGGGTATTTTTGACCTAAAAGGAAACATTTAAACTTGCATTTTGAAAATTCTAATTTTTAAAATCTGCTGTAGGGATCCTCCCAAATGAAAAGTCATTTTGCAGGCATTGACTGAAATAATTTGTTTTGAAAATTTCGAACCAAGGGGGTTCCCTGAGTTTTTTGAAATTTTCTATGAATTTTTCTTTTAAAATGGAGCTTTGAATATGTGTTTTTCTCCAAATCCTGTAAGTTTTGGCTGAAAGCTGCTGTTTATTTCTACTCCTATAATAAGCTCTGAGGAGCAAACTTCTCATGGCAATAGTTTCTCAAGAGAAGAAAAATCACTGCTTTAATTCTACTGAAAAAAAAAAAAGAAAAGAACTTACCCATGCAGTCTGGTCCCCAGTGTCCCTGGCAGCACTCAGGTTGTTCAAATTCCTTCGTACAATGATGCCGACATCCCGGAAGAGAAAGTATGTGTGTTTTAATTTCTAGGTAATACCTGAGGAAAAGAAGTTGAAGCTGCTTTAAAGTACTAAAAGCCTGCTGTGGGGAAAAATGAAATTCTTAACCTCCTCTTTTCCTTTTGGTGTCACACAAGAGCACTTTAAGATTAATTGTATTGATCTGCCTTTTTCTTCATTAAAACATACATTGCACATCAAGGTCTAAAAAGATCTTTTCATATTATATCTATTTTTTTTTTCTATTTCTGCAACCTAAACACAGCAGTTTTCTCTAAGTTTTGATTTGAAATGGTATTTTAAAAAATATTTAATATCAAGGTTCTTTAAATGCTAAGTAAGCTCAAAATAGTTACATTTTCCCTAAAACTTTGCTTTTCTTTTTTTTCCAATCTGAAAGGCAAGATTTCAAATTTGGTTTGAGATACTTCTTCACGCCCTTCACTCCCCCCACCTCCCCAAACTGCAGTTGGAAAAATCTGTTATTTATATGATAATATATGATCTGAATGATATACAATTACAATTTATATGATAATATACATTTATCATACAATATTTATATATCATTCATATCAAGTACGCAGAATAAACAAGGAAGTGATTTTATGATAGCACGCAAAAGAAAATCTGATAGGCCATTGATAGCAATGTTTATTTTCCTCTTATACCATTTGCTGATTAACTTTAGGGTTGAAGTACCCTGAGTGAAGCTTGAGTTCTGAAGTTGGTGAAGCCAATGGTAAATGTTCCTTAACAAAATTGCATAGAATAGAGCATTTGTAATATGAATCAACATTTTCTAATTCATGGAGAACAACATCCACAGAGAAAAGCTCTGACAGAAGAGATACCTGCAGTCTGGTATCCCAGTCCCATTGGTAATTTTGGTGTAACCAGCAGGGCACTGGGTTTCGAGGTTTAAAGAGCAAGGTACACATTCAGTTTTCATTTGAATGAGCAGCTTTTGATCACATCGCTTCTTCATCTGTAATAGGAGAAGATTAGTTAAAAAGAGGGAAAAAGTTCTCTGAGTTGATTTAACTCTGCCGCCAGTGGCACTGCTGAAAAATGACAAATTTAACTCAGCTTTGTTCTCACTCACAGCCACAAGCTCATGTCCAGCAGGAGCCCCCTGCTCTGGAGCTAAACTAGGTAATAGACTGTATATTAGGGCTTTGCAGTAGTCTTGTCTGCACGAGACATGTCCAACCACTGCAGGATAAACCCTTCTAAGTGTCGTATCTCTCCTAAGAATGCTTTATCAACATATGCCAAGTTCAGCAGACTTAAAAGCCAGGTTACAGAGGCAGCGTCAGCCTACGGAGTGTTAGTTCTGAAGTTGCCTCGCAAAGCCAAAGCAGGATGGAGAAAGCCAAGTGCTGGCAAATGCCTTCTCCATTCAATGGCAAAACTAAACTTATGGCCTGGAGGAAGTTACTTGTGGCTCTGTGCACACAGAGCACAGCACAAGCCTTTGCTCCTCTCAAAAGCAGGTTTTGTATTATCAGCACCAAGGTATTGATCTAAAGGGCTATGGCTGGTATTTTCAAATTGGTGTAAAAACATGACGTCTAGCTTTGCATTCAAGTCTGGTAGAAGTTATGGGCCTGACCCCACCAGAGCACACTGAGAAGGGCAGCCTCCTCTTTTTTTTTACCTAGAGAAAGCCACAGAAGGAAGCAGCCCAGCTTGGGAAACCTGTATGTAGCCCTCTAGCTCAGATGCCAAGGGCTAGTGCCCCTTGCTGTGGAGGTCCCAGTTTCAAGAAAGCAAATCTGACAAATGACTTGAGAAGGTGGCAAAAAGGAGAAAAGGCTTTGGGTATTGTCACAGTAGTGGCTTTGTATTTTGTGGTTGTAGAAATCATAGAATTGAAAATTTCTCTATATCAAAACCAGTGTTTGTTTCCTACTACTAAAACAGTTGACCTATTTTGAAGCAAAAAGTCTTTGCTGAACTTCATCTAATGTTGGCTTCATCTTCTTTCTTCCTGGTGAGCATTTGTAGAAGTAAGTTCATAACTCACGAATGGTGAGAAATGATCTAATGCAAAATATCATCTTTAAAAACCAACAAAAAGTAATAAATGAAATCATCATTCTTGGAGAGGAAGTACTGTCAAGTGCTCCATTTTCTATTCCAAGATAACTATTTGTCCACTGTTCTCTAAGCATGGACCCATTTAGGTGGTCTTAAATTCACTCAAGCAATATTGATCACGAGAAACTTCCTATCTGACACAAAGAATTGAAATGAACTCTCTGAATGAACGGGATTTCAATTAAGCAGTCGAGTAGTCAATTAAGGCAATGTCTGAATCATTACCAGGCCAACGTGAGGAAATGCTTAATGTTAATCTTGTAAAACTGTACCTACTCACTGTGCGTGTGCATGAGTGCACATGTGTATGTATATAGGGACCAGTTCTAGAAAATATTTATATACGTTAATAGTTGTCTGTGGACGTTTTAAGTAGCTTCCCAGATTATAAAGCCAGAAGGACAATTATACCAGAGGAGCATAATACAGGATAACGGAGCTTCTTGCATGAAATTTAGTTTGAACAAGATGATCTTTTAGAATGCATTCGTTTAATTTGGAAATGGTCAGCTATGGAGAAACAATCCGTTGTATGTTGCTTATATTGTAAGTTGTCTGTGATGGTTTTGCTTCAGTCTCCAGGCATTACTCTTTTGTAGCTTGCACAACAGGTAGGAATCTGTTCTGTTGCAGAGTTTACTGCTTCCTTCCTATGAATACTTACAGTCTGAGAACAAAGTACATTTTCTTTGTGAACCTAAATAAACAGCATTTCTTGAATTCCCTGCCATTACTCCTGTTTCCCAATTCTTGAGTCATCCTCCAGCTCTCCTTCGGAGCCTGCCCAGTTTGCCAAGAGCCCCTCCTGGATGGGGAGCATCAGACCTAGCCTGTCTGGGCAATTTCTGTGCGCTTGAATGGGACCTGCACACTCCCCCTGCAAGGTCTTCTCTGTTCCCTGCCTTGGCAAATTGATGTTAACCCTTTGTGCAGCAGCATCACAGCAGGAGCTTCAGGTCATTTGCTATGCAGGGTGTATTCCAAGCCACCACGTCCAAGGATGGAGCCCATCGCAGTGTTGTTACGTGTTTCCCGATGGATATCCTTCAGTGTTTCTGTCCAGGGATTCCCAAAGAACATATGCGCAAATGCAACCCTGTGCTGTCCAGGTAGTACTGGACCTTCTGGGCACATGTGGGATGCTGCAGCTTCTTTGCAGAAGCTCGCTGTTGGCCTAGGTGGGTACACTGGCACCTTGGGCAGGATTTCTACATGTGCCGCAGCCTGGTAGTCCTGGATGAAGCCCTCACCCCAGCAGTTTCCCCCCTTGTTAGTTATCCTTCCTTCAATGTCTGTGATAGCAGCACATTTTGGTAGTGTATTGTGAAGATGTATCACAGACACTGATAAGGAGATTAAGTTTCATGACCTCTGAGGGACTCCACTTGATAGTCATCACTCAGTTGTAAGTACATTTCAACATCTATTTAGTTGCCAAATTTTAGTCTTTATAAATGTGCTGTTGAAATCTGATTTGGGTAACATTCGAGTATTTGGGTAGTGAAACCTCTTACTGTTGCATAGATGCATTTCAGGCATCTTTGAAATAAAAATGAGACCTTTTTCCAAATGTGGTTATAATGTGGATACAGCTCAACCAGACACTTGGTAAAGCAGCGGCGAGCAGTGCCATACTGGGAGGACTGGGCAGCTTCTTTGCCCTCTCGGCAGAGCCTGGCACTGGTGGGCACTGGGCTGACCCAGGTTTTTGGGCTTCAGATCTAAGATAGCTCCCAGAAAATCAAACCAGATCACCTCTGAACCTTGCTTCCCATCCAAAACCACCTCATGAGGCACCAACGTGAGGGGGCTTGAACACACCAAGCCTTTCAAAACCCTGGTGCTCAGCACCAGTGCAGCCACCTTAACGGCCCATCCTTAATGAGAGACGACTCATGCACCACTGCAAGAACCAACTCAGCACAAACACGCAGTTCGGGCACCTTAACTCCTATGAGCATTTCCACTGAGTCAAATCAGTACTGTTAATGTTGAAGAATCACAAACTTAATGTTGGCTGAATTTTGTGAGACTTTAACCAAGTATACTACTGAAGCCTGGCTCCTCACAGATGCTTGGTGTAAGCTGTTAAGAGTTTGAGGCTGAATAAACTGCTAGGCTTGTAGGATATTCAGGTTCAGAAGTGAAAAAGCTATTGGTAGGAGTGGCTGAAATTATTTAATTGCAGAAGTTGTCATCAAAAAGGCCCCCCACAAAATTTCATTTTTTGGAACAAGAAAATTCAAAGAGATTTTGAAAAAGTAAAATCTAAATAAAAA